TATATTAATATATGAAGAACATACAAAAAAACTACACAAAAATTAAGAGAATGACATACTTCAGCAAGTTTGCTGAACTTTGTCAATAAACAGGAAAAATGTAACCTCTGAGCACCAAAAAAAGGAAGTTCCTAGTAATAAATGTAACAAAAACAACTTAAATCCTTTTTTGTAGATACTTAAAATGTACTTGCATCAGTATGGAAAAAAGGATGTCTCCGAAAATATTGAGGAGTGTGCGTTCACTTACAAATCATTACCAAAATTATAAAATATATTCTTAGGAAAACATATATAAGCAATAAAATCCATACAGATTTTCACGGGAGGAGAGAAGGACAGAGTTCAGAAGGAGCACACACAGCTTTCCGAGGTTTAATAATCTTTCTTGTCCTGGTTTACGGATTCATTCACTTCATTGTCATTTTAAGAGTGTGTGTGTGTGGGTTTGTGTGCGCGCACGGGTGCGTAATCACACTTTTTTGGCATGTATGTCCTATTTTCCAATTTTAAAATATTTGCAAAGAAAACGCCAAACAGCATAAAATAAGATGGTAAAATCCAATGCAAAATATTAGTAATAAGTATTAGTGAACTCTCAAGTTAATTTACAGAGTGTTGACTTTTAAATCTACTTATAGGCTATTTACACAAGAGTCAACTAAAATAAACAAGATAAAAATAAATAAATAAGTGCACTGAAGAACGGTTTAAAAATATAAAAGGTATTCAAGGAAAATGATGATCAAAAAAAACACAACAAACCAGTGTTCCTACAGTAATATTTCACTTCAGAGCAGAAGGAAGGTGATTTTTCCTTGCTGTTTCCAATCCCTGCCGACACCCACTGCCCAAAATCTCCTGAACTCACCTGGGTCGCGCTTTTCCGCTCCCACCCCAAAGACTCAGCAGGTTTTTCTGACCAAGTTACCAATGCCTCGCTCATCCCTAAATGCTGTGCTCGAATTTCAGTCCTGGTGACAGCAGCGTTTCATGTCGCTGACCGCGGAGTCTAAAACGCGTTCCTCGCCTGGCCGCCTGGCTGCTTGGTCCCCGACCCTCGTACCCCTTATTCCTCTCCGTTTTGGGGGGTCTCCCGTGACCCCAGGAACACCCGGGAGAAAGAGTTAGTAAGGAAACTGGGGCTTACATGACTTGGAAGGTAAAATCAGGAGAGCGGAGACCACGAAAGCTGCCGCCGAAGGGATGAGAAATTCATCCGGGAGGTTCCGTCTGCAGCGGGGAAGCGGAGGGTCCCCAACAGGTCGAAAGAAGCCGACACGGCCCCCTCTCCTGTCCATGTGTCTCGGTGCAATCGACTCCCGCGAGTAATGGCTTCCGCTTCACTTCCGCCTTCCAAATCTCGCGGGACTTCACTAGCCACCTCTAATACGGAAGCGGGGGCGGAGAGGGTTCTGGGAAATGTATTTTTTTAAGCTTTGACTGGCATGGCGGCGCCCAGGCGGGAACTGACCTTCTGGCACATTTCCCCAACTTCTAATTGTTCGAGTGCCCCGGGGTTCAGTCCTCAGCCTTCTCTTTCTATCGTCATTCGCTCTGTGTCAGCAGCGAATCTCACCGCGTTGGGTACTATTTAAACACTCGAGACCCTCAAATTTCCTGCCACAGCCCACACAACTTTACCCTGAATTCCAGACTCTGGGGACATTCTCTACTTGGATATTTTATAAACCTGTTCAAAGGTCGCAGATCAAGCTCCTGACTCCACCTCCTCAACCTCAAACAATAGCCACCCCATTCTCCCGTTTGTTCATTGTAAAACTTGGCAACATCCTTGACCTTTTTACTTGTCCCTCCCGAGTCCATAGATACTTTGGAGACTGTCGTCAGTTCTGCTTGGAACATCGATCCAGATTCCTTGCTTCTTGAGACGTTCCTAGAGAGAGACGTGGGCAAAAGGAGAAATTAAAAGCTGTGAGTATTCAGTTGAGACCATGCATAGGACGTTAGCAATCCTGGGATGGCAGCTTCCTGGAGCCCTAGGAGCTGAACTTCCCCTGGTTTACCAAGAAATTGCTCATCCTCCTGTAACCGAGTCCAAGCTTGTCCCACGTGCGACAGCCAGTAAGTCTAGAGACGAGGTAACAAGGTGTTGGGGCAAGGAAAGCAACTTTCATTCGGAGAGCCAGCAAACTGAGAAGACGGCAGACTAATGTCCTAAAGAACCATCTTTAGTATGAATTTTAGGTTCCTTTTTATGTTAATGGAAGAGGATTGAATGGGGAGGGGGTTGCAAGAGGTAGGACTGCAGACATTTGGGTGTCAACAAGGGTCCCAGCAGGTTATAAAAATTCTCCGTGCTTGGTCAGTTTAACTTGGGATGACGTAGGTCAGGTCACATAAATCTCTAACACAACATTGTTACTTGTGTTCTTAATACCGCCCCCCACCAAGGGGTAGTTTTGGGAAAAGGAGGGTTATCATCTTTCTTCTAGAGTTGAACTACAAACTAAATTCTGCCTATAATGGCCCCTGTTCAGAGCTAAGGAGAAGCTTTTAACCTAAAGGATATTACTGCAGGGGATCAGAAGCAAAATGGAGCTAGTCATATTGAAACCCTGTAGATAACATCGCTATTATAAAGCCTGAGATTGGTCTTTGAAGTATTTTTCAGACTCTGCATTCTGGGGGCACCTACTGATGCCAGAAGAGAAGAGCAACTGCTATGACTTCTTCTGAGTATAGTAGCATACAACAAAGCATTCTACTGTGAACCAGAATAAAATCTTAAGACTCACCCTCCACCGGCTGACTGAATGGACCCCCTCTTGGCCAAAGGAATATCCTAAAACTAAATTGCCTGCCACGAGGAGGGAGGTGAGACATGCTTCATCCCACCGCCCTCCTCCATTCTTGGGGACATCCTTTGTAACCCATTAACAGGCCTAAGGGTATGCAAGACAAACCTGCAGGTCCTCAATTTACACAACAAATATATGTCCAGTGGATTATCTCTGATAAATAGCTCCTTATGTTAAAACATTCAAAGCCTTTTAGACAAAGCTTGATGTCTTTAACCAATTACAAGTCAAAGACTCTTTAAACCCACCTAGAACCTGTAAGCCCCCACTTCAAGATGGCCCACCTTTTGGGGCCAAACCAATGTATGTTTCCCACGTATTGATATATGACTTTACCTGTAACCCCTGTCTCCCTGAAATTTATAAAACCAAACTGTAACCCAACCACACCGAGTCCACTTGCTCAAGGCTTCTTGGGCATGGCTCTGGGTCATGGTCCTCAAATTTGGCTCAGAATAAATCTCTTTAAAATTATTTTACAGAGTTTGGCTTTTTTTCCATTGACACTACAACCTACAAATTGGAGCCTTTTGTTATGGTCCATGAAGCCTTTAT